GAATTCAATACTTTAAATGAAAATTTTCATTAGTTCTAATAGAAAATAGCAACTAAAATTATTTGTCTAAATATAATGAATATGGACAATAAAAATAAATTATCAAAAACTAAAAAAAAAAAAAATTAAACGGGGATTAAACGGGGAATACTAACATCTAAGTGACAAATATTTCCATCTAAACAATAATTCAAGCAGATGAAAATAGTGTTCTCCAAGACAACCATAATTGTTCGATAATTATTGCGACTTTGTAAAAGAATCAGATTGAATTCATACCTATACTTAGCAGAACGAGGATCCTGATCAAGATGTTGCTGTAAATAAGATAAATCTTGCACATCTGTGTAAAAGTCGAGGTTGAAAGCTGCAAAACGGGCAACGAATGAGATCAAAGAGTATCAAATTTTCAATATTGAAAATACGAGCAATTTAAGCAAGAAAACAATGAGCTAACCAAGCTTCCCATAGTTTTCAATAAGATCAATCTTAGACAAAACATTGACATGAGGAAGTTCCAAGTGTAGCATGGTTGATAAAGAAAGAAGCAATGCGCTAACATACTTCCCAGGATCACTGCAAAGATGGGCGTCAACTAAGTGAACTACAGTCAACTGCAAAAAGCAGAGAAATTCCATTGAGAGACCCATCATAAAAGAATCAATATGATCAGAAGCAGTCAGTCACAGTCTTATTGTCAAGGGCCCATCAAGTGTTAAACAAATAACATTCGCTTCTAAGAGATAAATTTAGATTCCCAACATTCAACTTCCTGGTTGAGTTTCATGGTGAAGAAACTAATTGATCTTTTCAAAGAAAAAATTCATACCCTGAGATTTAACTTCTTTATGAGTTTCATGATAACTCTTTTTGCACTTTCATGAAGGAAAAAGAGTTCGACTTGGCCAGGGAAATCAAAGAGTAGATAGTGATCTGCAAAATAACGTCCATTTTGAGCTGCTATGATCACAAAAATGTTACATTGGCTGAGAACTAAAAACTAGATTACTGAGAATATAGATAGCACGTTAAGATATGACATCTAACAGCATATGGAGTCCATGGAGACAAAAATGAGCAAAGAAATAATATTGTTTTCAGATGGACACATACACTTGTAACAAAAAATGCTGTAGTTTCTGCACTCTTTATCATTCAATGCAGTAGTATACAAAAAACAGCTGTCTAACTTTGGCATTGTATATGCAGATTGTGTAAGCTAATGCTTCCTGTATGGGTTTTGATAGATATGTTCAAACATTAAATCAGGTCAATTATCAGTAGCATGATAAATCATTCAAGGAAGCATACTTTGTCAATTCTAACAATTTTTTCAGTTTTATTATGGTAAACACTATATCAGCCAGTTATCAGCAGCTTGTTAATTCTTTTCCTGCTCTTGAAGGAACCGTTTGTTTGCAAACTTTACTTTGTTGGGTCCAAGTATGAATCAACAAAAGGTTGGTTAACTTGGAGATGGATAGTTATAGAATATAATGGTATAACGCTGTTGAGCCAAAACCTACTAAAATCAGATTTAGAATTGTCCAAGTACCATCAAACTCAGCAAAATTCAGCCAAGGACTGATGTCACGGGGCTAGTTTTCTTACTCGAACAACTAGACACCGTGCGGCCTTAACGATCACAATTCCCGTCCCTCCCGAGAAAACTTTAAGTCAGTCTTTCAACACACCCGAATAATCTAACCAAGTAGGCTAAATTACTATAAACTTTGAATAGAGGATTTGAAGTAAACAAATAAGATTTAGGGAAACTCTCTTTGTATAAAAATAACTCAACTCCAATGTATTAATTTACAAAAGGACTACATCTCTATTTATAGGCAAAATCCTAGCAAGTGTTTTAAAATCAATGGCCAAGATCAATTTTCATTCAAGAGTCCTCATTGGATGCAAGTGGCCTTAAACCTCCTAAGACCATGAGGAAGCAAAGTTGAAATTTGCTTCATACAAGTTGCATGTCCCTATAATTCCCACATGCACTAGACATATCTCTTTCATAGTGGCAAAATTGGATTTTGCTTCCTCGGCATTTTCTCTTACAAAAGGCATAAGTGACCAACTTGAACTAGATGTCCCAAAATATCCAGCTTACAGCCCATCGTATTTCTCCCTAGAAAACCATTTTGATGTGCTGGAAAAACTGCCCATGTCATACCAATGTCATGCAACCTGCAATCTTTGTGTTGATGTGCTGCTTGTGTCCTGTGATAACTGTAGTATGCGTCTGACCATGTCTTGCCTACGTCCTGGGTGCTGCCTGCAATTTACCTGCGATGTCTGCCGCGTTGCAGCCATGTCGTCTTGCCTGCCTGTACACCCGAATTTCCTAGACACGACTTGAACACGAACCTGCCACCACGAACATCAGTCATTTCCCCACCAATTTAGGTGACACCGGCATCGCCATGTACCTTTGAAGTTTAGATCTAATTGACCATATGTCTACTTCATTCTCCTACTTAGTGCCATGACATCCCCATGTCGTGCTAGATCTCAAGTCATCCCTTTGCGATCCATCTCAGCAAGCAAACATCGCAGGCAAAATGCAGACAGCATCCAGGACGCAGTCAGAACATGGCCAGACATAGACTACAGTCATCGCATAACACATGCAGCACAACAACACACAGATTGCAGGCTGCATGACATGGGTATGACATGAGCAGTTTTTCCAGCACATCAAAGTGATTTTCTAGGGAGATATCGTGGGTTGTAACCAGGATATTTTGGGACATCTAGTTCAAGTTGATCACTTATGCATCTTGCAAGAGAAAATGTCAAGGAAGAAGCAAAAGCCAATTTTGCCACTATGAAAGGGACATGTTTAGTGCATGTGAGAATTGTAGAGACATGCCACTTGCATGAAGCAAATTCCAAATTTGCTTCCTCATGGTTTTAAGAACTTTAAGGCCACTTGCATCCAATGAGGACCATTGGATGAAGATTGATCTTGGCCATTAATTTTAAGACACTTGCTAGAATTTTACCTATAAATAGAGATGTAGTCCCTTTGTAAATTAATTCATTGGAGTTGAGTTATTTTTATACAAAAAGAGTTTTTCCCAAATCTTCCTTGTTTCCCTATTTTCCTTACTTCAAATCATATACTAAAAGTTGTAGTAATTTAGCCTATTTGGTTAGATTATTCGGATGTGTTGAAAGGCTAACTTAACGTTTTCTCGGGAGGGACGGGAATTGTGAACCTTAAGGCCGCACGGTTTCTAGTTGTTCGAGTGTAAACAAACTAGCCCCGTGACAGGTGGTATCAGAGCCTCGTTGGTAGGCTGTTATCATGGCGGATTTACAACAAACTGTTGAGATTGAGGAAAGGGGTCGTGGTGTTGCCCCAATTGAAGCAAGGAAAATACGGAGCAAGAGCAAGAGTAAGACTCGGGAAGTAATTGCAATGGAAGGCGAACTTGATCCAATCATCGCAAATATGGGTGATCGGGTCGAATCTCATGAATCATTGTCCAAGGATTCCGAAAATGGGAGCATTGATGTTCAACTATTCGACAAGCATGGGGATGCTACGACCGGAGGAGTCGTCCTTCCGAGGAACCCAAGCCTTGGCGCTAAGGGTGAAGGTTGGTGTCGAACAACCGGATTAGTCATCCATCCGAGGAACCAAAGCAGTGATGCAGAGGGTGAAGGTTGGTGTCGAACGTTGCATGTAAGAGGTTACAACGGGAAGAGGTGCATGGGGCACTGTGGACACTCGTCCATCGAGGGGATGGTGCCACAAGAAGAAAGAACATTCAAACCCATTGACGTAGAGGACAATACAAGGCGTGAGGCACATGATGAAGTGCCAAATATGTTCCGCTACGAGGACATTAGCAGATTTGGTGGGGGAGAGTGAGGGATCGCAAGGGGATGACTTAAGATCTAGTACGGCATAGAAATGTCATGGCACTAAATAGGAAAATGAAGTAGATGTATGGTTAATTAGGTCTAAGCTTCAAAGGTACATGGCGATGGCGATGCCGGTGTCACCTAAATTGGTGGGGAAATGACGGATGTCCATGGTGGCAGGCTAGTGTCCAGTTGTGTCTGGAAAATTCGGGTGCGCAGGCCGGCATGGCAACACGGCTGCAACGCAGGCAGATTGCAGGCAGCACGCAGGACACAATCAGGACATGACCATACACAGACTACAGTCATCGCATGACACGGTAGCACAGCAACACACAGATTGTAGGCTGAATGACATGGACATGACATGGGCAGTTTTTCCAACACATCAAAGTGGTTTTCTAGAGAGAAATACCATGGGTTGTAAGCTGGATATTTTAAATTGGTTACTTGTGCCTCTTGCAAGAGAAAATGCCAAGGAGGAAGCAAAAACCAATTTTGCCAGTTTGAAAGGACATGTCTAGTGCATGTGGGAATTGTAGAGACATGCAACTTGCATGAAGCAAAATCCAACTTTGCTTCCTCATGATCTTAAGAGGTTTAAAGCCACTTACATCCAATGAGGACCCTTGGATGAAGATTGATCTTGACCATTGATTCCAAGACACTTGCTAGGATTTTGCCTATAAATAGAGATGTAGTCTCTTTGTAAATTAATTCATAGGAATGGAGTTATATTTATAGAAAGAGGGTTTTCCCCAAATCTTACTTGTTTCCCTATTTTCCTTACTTCAAATCATCTATTCAAAGTTGCAGTAATTTAGCCTACTTTGTTAGATTATTCAAGCGTGTTGAAAGGCTGACTTAACGTTTTCTCGGGAGGGACGAGAATTGTGAACATTAAGGCCGCACGGTGTCTAATTGTTCGAGTGTAAGAAAACTAGCCCCGTGACACTGCGTTGCAGCCGTGTCGCCATACCTGCCTACACACCTGAATTTCCAAGACACGAACCTGCCACCATGGATATCAGTCATTTGACTCATTTCCCCACCAATTTAGGTGACACCGGCATCGCCATGTACCTTTGAAGCTTAGACCTAATTAACCATATGCCTACTTCATTTTCTCACTTAGTGCCATAACATCCCCGTGTCGTGCTAGATCTCAAATCACCCCCTTGCGATCCGTGACACTGAGCTCATCTAATACCCAGAAGAGACAATGTAACAATTCAAGAATCCAAAAAGACAAATTGCATCTTCTTGGATAAAAAGGTAGTCCTAGTATATCATCTTCTTCGAATAATTCTATTTTTTATTTACTATTTTCTATGAAAAAAAAGAATGTTACCAAGAAGCAAACAATACAACCTTAAATACAAAATGAGAGCTGGTACAAAATCCCAAATGCTTCTTTGTGTTTGGACGTATTTGCAGCTTCTGCCTTTAGATGAGTGAGTGCGCTGTATAACAAGATATTGTTTTTTATGCGCATTGGCTCTCCTCCTTTCCTTCATAACTAGTTATTGGTTGAAAAATACACAGAACATGTACCAAAAAGATAACCAAGCACAACAAACAAAAGTTAGATGCCATAACAACCTTGGAGCAGGGGTTTCAATTTGGATTCTAACCAGTCAATATTACTCTCCAGATAATCCATGCAATACACCAGACCTGTAAGACATTATAAAACATTCTTCAGAACAAGGAATTACCCCAACTCGGCACGAGCCCATAATTGTAGTAAAATATATTGATTATATAGAAACCCTATAAATGTATAGTATTTGAAAACATATAATACTATATGGAAAATCAAAAAGATACACTCAACAATCTTTACCTCCATTGGGACCAAGGGAATGCTCGCCCATTACATCGTTGAGTTTAACAAGATCCTCAATATTTATAGCACATTCATATCTTTATAACATAAGGAAATAACTCAAACACAACACATAATACATTTTAATTAAGTTTGAAAAAATAAAAACAAATTGGATACGGCAAGGCATCATTGGCGGGATCCAAATTAATAACTGCAACTTTCCTGCACTCAGTTAAATTATCAAAAATTACAATAGGATTATCGAGGAAAATACATAAAACTATGAAAGAGATAGTCTTACCGTCCGATGAGTTGGAGGAATTGGGACATGCCGTTGCAGTAAGTGGTCTTGCCGGAGCCTGGCGGCCCTATCACAACCTGACCGAAAACCATAATTTCTTTTGCTTTTTAGGGATTTTCCGAGATTTGTAATGATTTCAGCTAATTTTCTATAGGTTGCAAGAAAAATTTATACAGCCAGCCAGGGACAGACCCAGCCTTCAAGTTCAGCCCGGACAAACATTGACCGGTCAACGTCAACAATTAGCGATCGAAAGTCCCAAATGGCAAATGTGCCAAAATCCAAATCACAATTCAATCTGTCAATCACCGTAGACCCTAAATTAAAACTCAATCAGACAATCACCATTCACCACATTCACCACAAATCAGTAATCACAACTAATTTCTAATTTCTCACCACAAATCAGTAATCACAAATCAGAACAAATATACAGGCACAGACGCACAGTGGACACCGGACGGTCCGGACAGTTTCAGTTTCCAATCAAATTAGGTTGATTTCAAATTTTCATAATTCACATTTCACATAATCAACTAGTTCAGTTTCAGTAGTTCACATAATTTTCACAATTCACATAATCAACTAATTCAGTTTCAGTAGTTTCCAATCAGTAGTTTCAGTAGTGCCCAATTCAGTTTCAGTAGTTCACATAATCACAGGACCAAAATAATTCATGAAAATTAAAAAATGGCAGCCGGGTGAACTACTGAACCAACTTACCGAATGCAGCCAAATCTCGCAAGTCGCAAGGCGAGCGCGGGCGTCACCAGGGCAGGAGTCAGGAGAGGGAGAGTCAACTGAATGAGTGTGCTTCCGGCGGAAGAAACTGATGGTCGACGGACGGCGGGTTGAGGTTGCGACTGCTGGCGCGCGGTGGCGGAGACGGGCTCGAGTTCGAGAATGGGGAATTTTGGGAATTAGGTTGATTTCAAATGGGTTGGTCTTGGAGATTTGGGCAATTCATAATTGGGTTGGGACAATGGGACTTGGCCTGCATTAAAAAAAAGGATAAATTAAATGGGCCACATTGGCCCAATTTGAAAAAAAAAAAGATGGGAAAAGTTTATGGTTCAGAGGTTTACTTTCATGAAATTAAAAATCAGGTCCTAAAGTTTTAATTTACAAAACTCAAGTTTTTCTTGAATTAATTAATTACATTTCAGAATTATTGTACTAAATTAAATATATAACTGTAATATAATAAAATTAACCCACCCCACCCCACCTCTACCACCCCATTGCTCCGGCTACTACTTTGGCGACCGGCGACTACTCTGGCAGCACTTCATTTCGGCGACTGCTCCGATTCCGGCAATTGTTAAAGCCACAGTTATTTCAAGGTCACAGATCAAAAAAATTTATAGGTCACAGTTGACTTTATGGGTTACTGATAAAAAAATATAAGTCACATGTTATATCTTAAGGTCACAGAACAACGACTTTTAAGGTCATAGTTACCATACAGATGGGTCACAGTCACCCAAATACCCTTCCCCCATCCCAGTACATTACCACACTTTGTCACAAGTCACAGATCGACCAAATAGATAGTCACAGACACTTCGACCCATCCGTCGTACCCGTCTCCCAATCACAATACACCAACAATACTTGGTCATAGGTCACGAAACGACCAAATAGTTAACAATACCTGGTCACAGAACGACCAAATAATTGGTCACACACTTCGTCCGATCCGTCGCCAACCCTAATCCCTAAACCACCCACCAACAATATCAGCCCAAACCACCACCAGATCCGCCACACACAGAGATCTGCCCCTACACCCATAGATGCATCCCTGAGCCACACACCCACCTACAACAGATCCACCGCCCAATTTCATCACACAGATCTGCCTCCACACCCATAGATGCATCTCTCTTATTCATCTACGCTGCCGTCCCACACTCACAGATCCACCGCCCAATTTCCTCGTCCACCCACCCAAAAGGCTGGCTACAGCATCGACGATGTTGTCGCTACATCGCGCTGCTGTCGCTGCTGTGAGCAGCATCGCACAGCAGAGCGATACTGCTGTGCGACACAGCAGCGTGTCGCACAGCAACGTCTACGCGCTGTCGCAGCGCTGCTATGTGAGGGGAGAGATGAATGTTGTGGAGACGGGAGGAGGAGGAGGGAGGGGGGACGGGCGACGGGAGGAAGAGGGAGGAGAGAGATTAAGTTTGGGAATTTTATGAAATTTGGGGTGGGGGTGGGGGTGGGGGTGGGGTATGTGTGGGTATATAAATTAATTTAATTTAAAATATCATTATTAATATTAATTGTAGAAATTAAAACCTAATTTTTAGAAAGTTAAAATAAACACCTGGTCTAGTTAAATTTTCCCAAAAAAGATTGATGGGCAGGGCCCAAAAAAAGCGCAATTGCATTATAAATTTAAACTATTTCATTAATTACCATAATCAAGTTAAAATTTAAATTATACTACAAATTCCACAAAAAATCATCAAAAGTACTGGCACACGAACTTTCCATACACACCAAATGTAACAGACATCGTGATGGCTGATATTAAGGAAATTGATTACAGCTTGGTGCCTTCCAAAATTAAATTTGAATGCAAAACACAATGATTTCAATATAGTATGTTCATATTAATTATTTTCCAAGAAAGTATTTCCTCATATTCCCGAATGAATTCGGATTTGTGAGATGATTAAATCGATCTCATGGATGTGGAATGCTATACTTTCTCCATTGTTGCAAATAAATGTCCAACTAATATGTGTATTCAGAAGGAAAAACTACACGTATGTAAGCTAAACATGTCATTTCTCATATCGGGAAGTTTAACGGCATAACCCCTACGCGTTGTTATCATCAGGTCAATTAGGTCACGTTTGGTGCACATTTACAGATTGAACACATTAACACATCCATTTGTACGATAATTGACGATGCACGTCCATGTGCAAACTTGACATTGAAAAGCGTCATTGTCCCAACATTGCAGGATTTTGTAACAAGCGTGGATGTCAATTAGGTTTAGGTTGAAGATGAAGACAGAAAATACAAGACATCTATGAAGACGAAGATGCAATTCATATTTCATGCTCCAATTCCATCAAGATGATATCAAAACTTAGGACATAAAACTCCCTCCTGTATAATATACGAATAGCTCTAGTTTCCCATTTGTTTCAATGGTTGGCACAGCATATACTTACTGGTTTAATTTTGTTCATCTCATTTGAAATAAGTTTCTTGTCTTGTAGCAATTGTCAGGTGGCCAAATCATTTGTCAAACTAATCTAAATGTTGAAATCTGTTTGATGTTATTGACACGTACATTACATAATTCTCTTGAAAATGGCTGAGATCTTATTTCAATAAATCAATGTCTGAATATGGATTAGTTCTAGAAAAATCCTTGCTTCCTTCACATTCATATTTTGTAATGTCTGTATATGTTTTTTGCAAAATAACTACGTTAAACTATACAAGTGCAAACTTTTTTGTTCCAAAATTGCATATGAAATATCAGCAGTAGCATAGCATACACGCGCATGTATGTAATTTGAAAAAACATTTTTACATAACATCTCATGAATGTGGATTCTTACTAGATCTTTCTGATTCCCTCGTTAATTTGATCAAGTAATTTCATTTGGAAATCGAACTCATGCTTTTTGTATGCCCCCGCATCTGAATTGAAAGACTTTGCAATGTTCTGACCATCATACAAAATTGTTGTAATATGTATTGATAATAATTCAGGCTTTTTAAATATTTCATATCACACGTAATATTCGGTTCCTGTAAATTACATGTCTTTCATATCGAATTGCCCGTGCTTGGTTTGATGCACCTACTTCCTTAAAACATTTATTTAACGTGTTTATGGTAAACTCTACAGAATTGTGTTTTCTCATCGAAACATATACATTTCGGCATTCCTGGTTAGGCATTTAAGAAGGCTCAGGCATTTTATGAATGTGAGGCGAGGCATATGACTCAAAGCAGACCTCAAAAGAATCAACTACAGTAACATACTTAATAACTGTAATCCTTGTTGAAAATTCTTAATAAAACAAATTAACATAATTAATGTCTAACTTTCAAAACAAACATAAAAAGACAAATAAATTAGCAATCTGTAATTACTTAAATTACTAAATCCTTAAGAGAATCATTTATTGCCAATCATCCTTGTCAGCTCTTTTATTTTATTTTTTTGGGATTTTTCTGTAATATAAGAGGAATATTTTTGGAATGTTGTCATCTACTCCGTCCGTAATTAATGGTGGTCTGAAAGGAATATAACGCCTGCCCAAAATAATTCACGTTTAGTGTACCTTTTACGTTTTATTTTATACTGAGAAAAATGTAGTACATTTAGGATTAAATAAAGAATAATGCTACTTGCAGTCGTTCACTACAACAGTCGCCCTATATGGCACACACATGTCAAGTGTGTATTTGATGCATTAAATGTGGTAAAAAACTACCACATTAATGCATCAAATAACTACATGTCATGTGTGTGCCACAGATGACGATTGTTGCAGTGGGCGACTGCAAGTAGCATTACTCTTAAATAAAATGTTATGTATATTATGAATAATTATTTTTATGCTAGTGGTACGCGTAATCATCCCAAACAAAAAAGGGAAAATTAGGCCAACTACTCTTAAAAAATATTATCTTTGATTAATACCCTTCAAACTAAAATAAAGTTATATTACCGTATTAATTACCCTCAGGACTTAAATTCTCTCAACAATCTCACTCGTCTCTGAGTCTCTCGCCTCTCGCCTCGATGTCGTCCATTTGCAGAAGAAGAAGGTAAAGGTCTCTCATATCTTGACTTCTCACCGCCTTCCACCACTATATGAATGGTAGAATTTGCACTGTAAGTTCTAGGTTGCTACCGGAATTCATAGTCGAAGTCCCATTGATTACATCGGCGTTTCCGCATCGAGGTCGTACCATGTGCTTTAACGCTTGTTCGTCAAGTTCACCGGTGGGATTCAATTAAAATTCAGCTGGTAAGTTTTGACGACTGATTCAAGATATTCATCAAAATCATCCGAGTAATTAGAATAAGAAGAATTCAAATAACCAAAGTACTGTAAATATTTCTTGAATTTGGTTAACTCATCAACTTTCTTTTGACCATTACGGTAGCCCATAAGCTTATTAAAAGCCTCCCATATTGTTGTATTCGGGATTAACGAAGGTGGGATTGAAGTGATATTGGGGAAAAAATGTGCAGAAGCTGAAGAAATGGAAAAGAGTAACAGAAAAGTTATGGGAATGAACATCGTGAACTTCATTTTCGTTTGAGAGTCTGTGAAATTGAAATGAATGGAAAGTTTTTGATTTGGAATTATAAGGGGATATCCATAAATTGTTCAAAGGGTTGAGTTTTCGTGTGAAAGATGGAGAGCCGGCATTATGGGTTTTTGTATACTGCTTTTAAAAAGGAACATTTTTGAAGAATTATGTTTTGTATTTACCTTTTTTTTTTGTACCAATTGGTTGTCTGATTTTTGAATCTGTGTAAGCTACCGATGGCATTGACATTCTGCCAGCTGGAGGCTTTCTTGTATGTATTGTTGGTAATTGCACAAGAACAAATGGGGAAAATCATGTATCATGGTTTGATATCTGTGCTGGTTTTTATGGTTCTACCATGGCGGTGTTATGAGTAGGGGACTAATACTAGGAAACAATAATGCTACTTTTTGAGTGTGTCACTTTTTTAATCGTATAACTTCTTTTAATTTGTGCCATTTTTTTGAATTCGTTACTTATTAAAAATTTGTTATTTTTTTGAATTTTGTCACATTTTTTATTTCTATCACTTTTTTTAATGATAAACATCAATTTTTAATAAAAGTGATATTCTATGTCTCTTTTTTAATAAAAAAGTGATACTTAACTTTAAAAAGTAGAAGTGCTGGTAGTGGAGATGGCTGCTGGTGGGTGGGATGGACTTGAGGTGGCCGAAGCATTGTGCAAACACAAACAATAAAGTAAAATATAGATGGTCAAACAAGTATTTAACTCTTTGAAATAGTAAACTGTGTCACTTTTTTTTTTAAAAGTGATATTATGTCACTTTTTTCTTTACTTTTCTGAATTTTTTTCATTTTTTATTGTTTGTTACTTTTTAAAAATTTCTATCACTTTTTTGAATAACAAATATAGGTTTTGATTAGTGTTTTGTCACTTTTTTGAGTGTGTGTCACTTTTTTTGAGTTTATGCCACTTTTTTGAAAAAGTAAAAAAGTGACAATTTTTATAAAAAAGTGACATTGTTTCACTTTTTTTCATTTTATATAGTATTTTTTACTTCCTAAAAACATTTCACATGATTTTTCAAAATACCCATAATTTTAAGGGTATTTTTGTAAGTACCCCAACAAAAAAACAAAAAAAAAAAGGGAAGAAAGAAACAGACCAGCAACGAAGAAGAAGATGAACAGACCAGCAGCAGCCGCACGACGGATCATGGCCGGATTGAACTCCCAATCAGGAGGTCCGGCAGAGCCCATCACGAGCAACCGCCCCCCGGCCGGGTGCTGGGTCCGTTAGTGCTGCCAGCAAAAACTTTAAAACCCTTTGAACCTCGAGGAAATATAGGGCTTTGCATTTCAGAATAAAAAATATAAAAAGAGCAATTGGGAAAAGTGAGGAATTAGTGAAAAAATAAATATTTGGGGGGCATTACGAGAATCGAACTCGGACCTCTCGCACCAATCCCAGCCCCTGATTGACATATATTATTTTTTTTTCTACATACTAATTTTCATCCATATATTTACACAGAGAGTGATTGGTGGAGATTAAAATTAGATTTTTAGTAGATTGTGATAGAAGTTTTTGAAATGTGTGGTTGAAAAGTTGTGGGACCTATGAAAGATGTGGTTAATATTGATTGTTTGACTTTGACTTGAATTAAAATCAGATTTTAATCCGGACCAAACATGGACACAATAAAATATTTTGCACGTAAATTTAAATTTTTTCCTTACTTATCAATTACAC